GAAGAGAAAAAGAGTAGCAGATTGGATAAAAAATAAAATAAAATCTTTAATATGCTATCTACAAGAGGCATACCTGAAAAATGAAGAGAAAGAAAGACTAAAAATAAAAGAGTGAGGAAAAAAAATACACCAAGTGAATAGCAACCAGAAAAAAGCAGGACTAGTGATATTAATCTCGGATAAAATAAATTTCAATGCAAAAACCATTACGAAGAACAAGGAGAGTCACTACAGAATGCTTTAAGGGTCAATAGAACATGAGTCCATAACAATGATAAGTATTTATGCTCCAAATGATAGACCTGCAAAATATAAAAAACAAACACTAACAAAACTTAAGAAGGAAATAGACAACATTACTATAGTAGTTGGAGACTTCAATACACCACTCTCAAGAAAATATAAAAATACCAGAAAGAAACTCTATAAAGATGCTGAAGAATTAACCTACACAATAAACCAGCCTGACCTTATAGATATTTATAGGCTAATGCACCCCCAAAAAAGCACAGTATACCTTCTTCTCCAATGTGCATGGAACGTTCTTGAGAATAGATCACATCTTGGACCACAAGGCAAGAATCAATAATTCAAAAACAGAAATAATACAGAGAATCTTCTCAGATCACAACGGTACAAAATTAGAAATTAATGACAAGAGGATAAAAGAGAAAGAAAAAAAAAAACCCATACATTTGAAAGTTGAACAATGTCTTGCTTGAATATGAGTGGGTACAGGAAAATATAAAAAAATGAAATTAAAAAGTTTCTTGAAATAAATGGCAATGAAAACACCACTTAACAAAACCTCCAGGAAATAGCTAAAACAGTAAACAGGGGTCAATTTTTACCAATAAGCAAACACATCAAAAGGAAGGATAAAATGACCATTGAATCTCTGACCGAATATCTCCAACAAATTTAAAAAATAGAGCAAGAAATCTCAACACCCTCTAAAAACACCTAAAGTTGTATAAAATAGGGCAGAAATAATTGAAATAGAAAAAATAAAAACAATTAAAACCAACAACAAACTAGGAGTTGCTTTTATGAAAAGGCCAATAAAATCAACAAACCTCTAGCAAAACTAACAAAGGAAAAGAAGGAAAAGACACAAATAATCTGAATAAGAAATAAAATGGGCAGCGTCACAACAGAACGAAGTAAATTAAAAAGGCTAACATTGAAATATTATGAAAAACTATACTCAAACAAATATGAAAACCTAGAGGAAATGGACATATACTCAGAAATGCACTACCTATCTAAGCTAACACAAACTGAAATTGAACACCTGAACAGACCCATTACAAAAGAAGAAATAGAAAAGGTAATTAAACACTTACAGTAAAAAAAAAAAGCCATAAACCAAGTGGCTTTACAAGTGAATTTTATCAGACATTCAGAGAAGAACTGTCATCAGTTCAACATAGACTATTTCAGAAAATAGAAAAAGATGAATTCTTCCAGCCTCATTCTATGAAGCAAACATATCCTTGATATGAAAGCCAGGTAAAAACACCACCAAAATAGACAACTATAGGCCAATATCTCTCAAGAACATAGATGTAAAAATCCTGAATAAAATCTTGGCCAATAGAATCCAACAATACATCAAAAAAATAATTAACCATGACCAAGAGGGATTCATAACAGGTATGCAAAGATGGTTCAACATAAGAAAATCGATCAGTGTAATTCATCACATTAAAAAAGCAAAGAACAAGAACCACATGATCTTATTAATTGAAGCAGAAAAGGCCTTTGACAAAATCAAATACCCTTTCCTGATTAAAACACTCAACAAAATAGGATTAGAGGGGAACTTTCTCAACATATTAAAAAGTATATATGCAAACCTGAGGGCCAACATTGT